TACTAAATGAACTGACTTATATATCTGACAAAATATCAAATTAATTTTATGTCGATATTTGTCTTCTACCTTATTTACTTCGAAAACAGAAAAGTAGCTGTATATTCTTCTTCGAATATATTTTCGATTTGTTGAGAAAATTCATCTTCTAAGATCAATCGCGAAGTGCCAGAAAAACGAAGCTGACTGTCAAGATTTTGAGTTTTGATACTGGCGTTAAAGATCTATAATTCTGATCGATTGTAGAGTATCTATGTAACCTCAATAATGTTTTGACAATCCTATATCTGAACAGTCTAAAATTTACATGTCGAGATTCAATGTTGTATAGATGCTATTGAAACAACGTTTCTCAACATCATGGACAGATAAAATAATCCATTCACTTCAAATATTGAAAATTAATCATACTCACTGTAATTGAAGAGGGTGTGGGTAAGTGTGGGTGTTAGAGTCCTGTGCGAACCAATTTCTCCTGTATTTTCCCCAAAACCCGCTTGTTCTATTTCTATATACGCTAAAGTGTATTTATGTAACAAATTTTTATTTTCAATAACTATTTTTGTATGTAATAAACAAAAGGAACCAGTAAGTAGCTCTCAAAAAAATTATAGGAATCCATTCGTTTTTCACTACATCTTACATTATGACAACGATTAGCTTTTTTCAATTATCACCAAAAGCACAATTACTAAGATAATCTTACAACACATTAAAATCATATTCTTTTGAAATTTTTGCTTTTCTTATTGGCGTTATCCAAGTGCAACTATTTACTCTTTTTCTTAATTAGAGCTATTGCAGATAGTATAGAGCTAACTATTTATTATCATTTTCATGTATAGAAGCATTCACATCTTTTCCTACTTTTTTCTGATCTTCCTTTTATGACTTTATAACTTATCTAACCGTATTAGCAGATATTGGTACGCTCACAATATGAGGCAAAGTATTGTAGATTGATAGTATCGACAATAGATAAATTTAATTTCGATGTAGCCTACTAGAGTGTGAGTGTATATTTTCATCCCTTCACCTGCGTCCATCCTCAAACCCACATCCTATCTTCGAACCTTCCCATAGGAACACTCACACCGAGAAGATAAAATAGAAAAAGAAAAAGCAAGGAAGAAAAAAAAAAGAAAACCGATGACAGATTGCATGAATGCAGTACTTCGTATCGCGTTGATAAAAGTAGAAAGAAAGAAATAAAGAAAAGTAGTAATGTAATCATATAACGTGTTTCACTCCTTTAAAAAAACGTAAACTCGCACACGATAACGTGAATGATACGCCACATACCGTGTAGATTCTCGCGACTGAAATGATATTTCTCTCTATTGAAAATGAAAGCGCTAATGATTGAAAAATTCATTGAAAGGATATGAAGAAGAAAAAATTTGCTTAGACCTAACGATGCATATGTAAACTATTAAATTAACATCGAATCCAAAGAATAACTTTAGAATAATACCTACTGGAAATAAGTATAGGATTGAGATTATTCAGTAATATTTCATATCTTTTGATTATTCTCATTGATCGATGTGGATTTAGAGGTCATCTTTTCAAACACTCGCACACATAATTTTGATGAATCGTTGAGTATAGATTAACTTTGTTTTCTATTTAGTAAAGCATTGTAGAAAAGAATAAGACAAGTATAACACTATTCTGATATAGTTTTTCTAAGGAAATAATTAAAAATTTTTCTAATGATATTTCTCAAAACTAAGATAATGTCATCAGAAATCAATAAATAAAATAATCATTTCTCCAATTCAATGATGCCTTGAAGCTGGGAGAAATCTTAATCTATGAAAATATCAAAGTTTACCGCATATCGATGATACGTATCAGTAATCATGTTGAGTCTGGTGCAAACATTGCAGACCGAACATAAAATTGTAAAGTCGTCAAGATGATCCAGGATGCGATACACAAGATCAACAGGTATACTCAGCATTGAATAAGGAACTTGATAAGCCATAAACGTTGAATAATTTCGAGTACTGTGCGCTGTTGAAATGAATGATTATTGAAACTTTTTGCCTTCTTATCAATATCTATATAGAAAGTAAATCACCGATTGTTGTTACAGTTTTGCAAGTTTTTGTCTAGGCAGAGAATAGAAAAATTTTTTCATATACTTCGTGAATTGAGGTAACAAAGAAAACAGAGATTTCACGTCGAAGATTGGGTGTGGGTGTGCAAAAGAAAAACATCATGAGAGACACCGATACTAACACCAAGGTCATATCCACACCAACTCATATTACCCATAGTCTATTATTTGTCATAACAAACCTCTGTTATGATCTTGTATTATAGGAAACAAGCCGATTTATTTTGCAAGGTCCGCTTTACGTTATCTATTTTTTCTTTTTATGAATATTTAATACGAAAATATAATGTTTGATTCGAAGTACGAAAAAAAAAAGAGTAGATATCATAGACTAAATCAAAATTATTTTTAAGAAACTTAGAGATGAGAAGTGAAATTCTTGGAAGAGGAAACAAAATCTTAAGTTTTCAATAGACTTCCAAAATAATTTGAGACAAAAGGATACATTATTAGCATAGGCCTTAAAATTTTATATATTATTGTGATTTTTCTATTCATCAAAACTATACTATATAATATCTCAGTCACCACCACTGTCGCAAGCGTTCTCGTTGGCGAAATTTAGATGGATGAAATTCTTACTGTCAGAACTGCGTCTTACCTCTTCTTGTTTCTTTTCGCAACTATTTTTATGCTTTATCTATTAAACAGACATGGTTTATATTTGCATTAGTATCTGTAGAAAAAACCTACTGATAAAGATATCAAAATTCAATGTCGTTTTTTCTTTGCCAGCGATAAATTTTATTTTCGTTCTGTCCGAACTTGCTTTTTAATGAGTGTCAATAAAATGACGAGATAATCCATGCAAGGAATCACCTTCAATTTTATTTTTCATAACTTTTCATTTTTCTAGGAATGACTTCAACAAATACACATTTGAAAAAAGAGGATAAGGTGTGGGTGTGAATGTGAATGAATCAATGATGTTATCTTCACAACCCACCCACACTCAGCAAAGCTACGCTTAGTATAACAATCATAATCTGTATATATATACATGTAGTTGATGATTCATTGGTATTTGGATTTACTACTTCTAATGAACAAGCATAAAATATTTTATTAAAAATTAAGTATAACAAGAAGAAAGTCGATTCAATTTAACGTACTTGAATTAGCTTCTTCTTCTTCCACAGATTAGCCATTTTTTGCTGCTTTTATTATGCTAATATTATTAATTAATTCTTGACATAAATAAATAGTATCATATTTCAAAACTATTTTTTCATCGTTCATATTATTAAGACTTCCTCCCCCCTCCCCTCCTCCTCCATAATGTCAATTTTGGTCAAACTTGTTGATTTTGTTATTTATAGCTCGTTATATAGAGCTAAGTGTCTACTTTCGAATGCACTACAGATTATTGATTTTACGATAAGATTTAAGGATATTACACAGGCTTTTCTGAACCTCCCATAGAAGAAAATAAGGTTTTTTCTCAAAATAGGACTTTTGATTTTTATGTTTCCGTGCGTCCTAGATTTCTCCGCCATTTTAAACGCTAGAAAAGTCGGGCTGCTTTCAAAATGTAGCCAATATGGGGCGCAACTAACTTTTCTGGACCTATCCCCATTGACTTTTTCATATTTCATCAGAGAAATTTTCTAGAAACACAAGCTAGGAAAGAATCGAAAAAGCGCACTCTGCTAAGTTGTAACGCCGCATATTGGCTATATTTTAAAATCAGCCCGACTTTTCTGGCATTTGAAATAGCAGAGAAATTTGGGACGCACGGAAACCTAAATTTTGACCCATAACCTTATGCTAACTCTTCGTAGACTCAATGTATCGAGCTGAAATTTTTACTGCGATGTGTCCAGCTCGAGATACACTTCCACTGAAAATTTCATCATGATTGAATGCTCGAAAAAACAATTTCATTTTAGAGGGGCCCCTTAATTTCAATCAATGAGAGAGATCGACAAGTTGGTTTTCGATGAATTTTTCTTATGATTTAGCTTCCGAAACTCATTGTTCATAATAAGTAGTTATTTGTGAAAAATCCCAATAATAAGATTCATCATTACTTAAAGTTAAACTGATATTTTATTATAATGAATGTTGAATTTGTAAATTCGCTTCGTGAACAATAGTTTGAATTCTATAAAATAAACTTATAAACATGTATTACAAACCACAGTAAATAATGTTTCCTTTTTTCTTTTTTGCTACAATTAATACAAGTTGTTGTTCGATATTTGATGTGATAATTGAGGTAATTTTTATTGAATTATTAAAAGAAAACAATCATTTAATATAATGTATGCTAAGTTATTCCAATATGAACAGCAGCTAGAAAAGGAATTATAGATCAATAATAATTAAATGATTTAGTAAGTATTTGTTGAAATCGGTTTAGTTTTCTTTTTTATAAATCATCGATTAGAATCAAATTGTGTCGCAAAATCAAAAAGTATATTACATTGATCAAATAATAATAGTGAAGAAAATGTCATTAGAAATGTTGTTGCACATACTGAATGAAAGAAATAAAATTTCTATTAAAATGATTCTCAAAACGCATCATATTGACAGTTATTTATAATAAGTGAACTAATATATCTGTACTTGAAAAAAAACAACACGTTATCAGCAATTTATTACATGTTAATCGTTTCTTTATAATCAAAAATTTGAATAAATAATAGTATCGTTCGATGTCAAAGATTGAGATAGACAAGTCATCTATTTAATTGACGTTTGTTAGATGCTCAAAACAAAAATTCTATGTTTTCTGTGTTTTAATCAATACTCTCCGGTCACGACAGACAACAATATTCAAGAAAAATTTCGAACAATAATAAAAACATAATAATTTGTATAGAGAGAACAAAATCTGATTGTTATCTTTCATATTTCTCAATGCTCACCATTAACAAATATCTGAATTGAAATTTTGCATAAATGTATCAATTAAGATGGCATAAGCTATTATAGGTAAAGGAAGAATAGGTAGAGCCTTGTTTTTATTCCAAAAGATTGGAGTCCAATTCGTTGCCATATATCCGATTCGTATACTAATTATAGCACCAATTGTCGCAATAAATGATTCATCATCAATTTTGTCATCTCTTGGATCATCAACATAATAATCATAAGGATCAAGAAGAAAATCATCGATTAATGGAGATTTCGGTACCACTATTAACATTGAATTGTACAGATGGTCATGTAGATATAAACAAGCAATACTATAATTAAATACACAATTTATGAATAAATATATGAAAATAGATCTCAAGACGAAATTTTATCATGTCAGTAGTGTTCATAATCTAAATCATTTTTTCTCTATTTACTGTTGTGCATATTAGTTTTTCTAATATGATTCAAAAATGTTCTCCTGATTTTTCTTTTACATTTCATTTAAAAGTACATTATGTTTCATTCATGAAAATTTTCATCTTTACAATAATTTATTTGTTTTAACACTTTTGTCTCCATTTTAATTTCAATTAATTTTAGAAATCTTAAGACATCTATTACTCATGTATTGATGATATGCTCATAAGTGACAAGAATAAGTCGAACAATAATTGAACAAATATTTAGTAGTAACTATATTAAATATCTCATGATTTCATTGATAATGAGAACCGACTAACATGTCATTTAAATGATAGATAGTTCAGAGAAAAAGACAAAAAAATCCAATATACTGACTATATATGAATAAACCACATGAAATTAATAAGTTAATGTATTTATTCAACTTAAGATCTCTCACAGAGATGAATAAAATCGATTGTTTTTTAAATTGGAATCATCGATTTCGGTTCCGATTTTGATCACTCGTCATTAATTTCCTTTATTTTGAAAACTTTCTTAAGTATATATTAAATATCTGCCTAAATTCTTTCTAAATTCTATCAGGAATTATCAAGTTCGATTTTCAATGTATATTACCAATCTTGAATAGCAATAAACCATAGAAGAACAAATTTGTACTGAACTGGAAGATAACGAAGTACGATATCATAAGAAGCATATGAAATAAATGCTGTAAATATACATAAGGATGCTTGATGAAGAATGAATGAATGAATGAAAAGTATGAAAGTTCTTGAGAATGTCATTTACAAATTAAATATATAAACTGCCAGAAAACAAAGAAAACAGTAAACACATCGATTTGACAAGACAAACTAAGAACATTGAAGAATCGAGCCGTAAACCAAACGACAATCAATGTAAATACAATAAATTTTGCATTTTTTTCCACTGGTTCAATTTGATATTTTGTCGGTAGATCACACAATAAGAGAAATCATAAATATTTTAATATATATTATATTATTCCAATAATATTTACATGTATCATTGACTAAAAATAAATATGAATATGATTGAATAGATTTTTTTTTCTAAAAGAAAACATATTTTGCCAATTCTCTAATAGACAACGAATAAACAAAAGATAATCACGTACTGTATCAATAAATATATCCTGAAATAAACTATTGTTTATACTTGTTCCTTCTAAACAATAGTAGAAGATAAATGTTATTATCATCACATGTATATCACGATTCATCGTTTACTTATTTAGAGCAGATAAATTCTGTTTATTTCAAATATATTATATACAGAGAAATAATCGAAATGAACTTTTTCTGCTTAAAATTAATGTAAACTATTTGATTCACACGGTGGACAAATCACTTGTTTTTTTCCGTAACATGTGTCTATCGAAAAAGAAAAGGCCAAGCGGCCATATTACACAAACGGAAGAAAAAATAATAATGAAACGAATAAGAGAAAAAAGATATATCGAATAAAACATTTTATATTACGATTCAGCCCTTATTGATGACTGATTGTGAATAATATAATTCATGATAACTGCAGTGGCAGATTTAAGGGACGCTAGGGCGATCGTTCCATTCGCAGAGTTTTTTTTTCAATTTTTTCCAGTAGAAAAGGCCCAAAAATGAGCCCTTGGTGC